CTACTGGACAGCCTCTAGAAATGTGCATAAAATTGATAAATCTGGTGCATGAAGAGCAAATAAATGAACAGAAGATTGTGTGCAGTGCTGAGCCAGTGAGACTGATACAATTATGAGAAGTGGGAGCTGAAAAGATGCTGCTGCAGAGTCTGAGGCTGAAACAATGAGAGCAGCTCTGTTTCCATCCCTAAAAAAAGATACTGAAATGCTAAAAATGTAGAAGAGAACCACAGAAATTATGTGAAACTGGAAGAAATCAGATTGCACCGTGACAGAGCTGAATCTGGTTAGTCTGTTCAAAAAAAGTGATCAAGAGTGACTTTGGTTACTGTGACCTTTTAGAGGGAGAAGAATAGGGACTGGAGATGTATTTTATTAATAAAAGAAATAAAATAATGGCCAATGACAGGAAGCACAAGTCAGACAAATCTAAATTCAAAGTCTCTGGTTATTAATAGTAAGGATGATTAACCACTGGGAAAAAAAAATGGCCAAAGGGAGCAGTGAATTTCCCTTTTTGAAGTCTTCAAATGGAGACTAAATGCTTTTCCTGCACGAACTGCTGCAATCCTGGAGCAATGCACTGGCCCATGCCCCACAGCAGGTCAGGTGTGATGATGTGATGGCTCCTCTTTGCCTTAAGAGTTCATTACTGGGGAGCTGGGAATTTAAATTCATATTTAGGAAGGAACAAGATCTACTTTAAAGAAAGAATAAAACCCGTGTAATGAAAAATAAGATCTTTACCCCTGAGGAGGGAATACCCATCTCACCTCATACCCTCTTTTTCCTATGATGGAAATGCAGGAATTTCATCAGACATGTCCTGGCCATTTATTAAATTCCTCTTTTTCCATTAGGTTCAAGATTACCACGCTGTAATTTTAAATTTATTGTTCTACCTTGTGTGCACGTTGCCCTCACCCAGCAAATAACTTCACATCTTCAAAATGAACTGAACTACAAATATCAGCTGGGTCCTGAGAAGTAAAGCCCTAAAGAACATTAAACACTGCCTTGTCCACATGAAAGAAAGAAAAAAGAAAAAAAAAACAACCCAAAGAGCCAAACAAAAAAACCCAACAGCTGCTGCTCCTTTCACTTGTATGTGGAGCATCAAAAAAAAAAAAAGCTGAATTCATCCACAGCTTCTGTGGAAGCACCAAAACCTCAAATCCTTCTCACATCCTCAACACGGAGCAAAGTTTGATGCTTTCAGCGAGCCATAAATCTCCCCAAGAGCTGCTGAAGCACCGGGCTCAGGCTCCAGCAGCCAGCAAAGAGAGAACTGGGAGGGAATTTTCCTGATAAACCTCCCAACTCCCGACTGAGAAGATGAAAAAGAGCTTCTAAGTGCTGCCTCATTAACAACCCAGCCCCAAATGAGAAAGTCAGGCACACAGGAGTCCTTCATTTTTTTTTTTTTCCTAAATTCTCAGTGCTGGAGGAGCTGCAGCCTTTTGTGCTGAAGAATTTCCCATTCATGTTCAGTGAGGTTCCATGCAGACATCAAAGGAAAACATTAAATTTCCCCGGCAAGCCTCGGGCTAACTTCAGAGGATACATCACTGAGTAATGTTTAGCAGTTGGATCACAGTAATTCAGGGGGGAAAAAAAAAAAAAATGAAACTGCAGGACGCCCACAAGACATTCTCCACATATTTCCATAATCAGGGACATTTCTGCTGAATTACTGCTCACATAGCACAAAAAATCAGCACCCAAGACACTCAAGTGGCATCTTTGGCCTGGATCTTTCTGCTCTTGTTCCCATCCTCCTTTAAAGGCACATGTGGATTCCAACAGAAAGAACTGGAATAGCACAGAGTAGGTAGAAATCAGCATCACCCCCTGCCAGTTTGATTTTTTTTTATTTTTTTTTTTAACTTTACCTTGTTAAATGTCTATTTTGTTGGCTGTTCCCCTAAGGCCTCACTAGGAAATGATGTAAAAAGCACATTTGTCAAGAAAAACTCCTGTCTCCTTCCTGGAGACATTGATTATGGAATATATATTTTTCTTAAACATTCTAGAAACCATGGGATACTGTGCCTGTAACAAGAAGTACTTTTCACTTATTTTTTTGGCATTGAAATATGCTTTTTAAGTATGGTTGCCTGGCACAGTGATTTTGTTTTCACATTAAAATCAAAGAGGATTGGGACACCCTGTACTAATTTAGAGGAGCAGACAGGACCTGCTCCAAAATCTTCCAAGCAGACTGGACAAAGGAGCAGAATTTCAGGTGGGGAAAAGGAGGAACAAAGACATCCAGTGACTTCCTCAAGGTCACACAGGAATCTCTTGCAGGGCAGGGTCGAGTTCCCAAAGTCTCAGCCCACTTATGCACTGGAAAAAGCAGTGAAACAAGAGTATGTACTAAATTTGGCACAGCCTTTTAAATGATGCATTGCTCCAAGGGAACAAGAACCTCCACTCATGCTAAGCCAGACACCAAAGGAACACAGAAAGGAAAACTACTCACTCCACCCAATTTATCTGATCACCTTAATATTTCCTAAGTCAATAAGGCCTTTCTTGGCCAGACAGTCCAACCTACAATTTAGATCTTGTTACAAAATCAGACACACTAAACCACTTTCTCCCTCAGGCTGCAGGAGATAAAAGGCCAAGTAAGCAACATTTTGGTAACTGGCTTCATGGAACAGCTTTGGATTTTCTTAAAAGCTTCAGCATCGATTGTTTTCTTTAAATAGCAATGGTTTCTTGAGAAACCTTCTACCCCTTTTAAAGCACAAAGTTTTCCTGAAGTAGAGAAGGGAGCAAAAACTGCCCTGCCAAGGCATATTTGTCAAGGAGTTTTGGATACCTGGTGCTGGCAAAACACTTTGAAGCCAAAGTTAACACTGGTGCTGGGAGAGGAAACTTGGGAGATGGAGAGGAAATGAAAGAATGGACTGACACACAACAGTCCTGGGATTCAGCTCCAGTTGTGTTTTATCCAACAGCTCAAGCCAGTGCTGCAACTTGTGAGCATCCAAAGGAGCTAAAATCTCCTGGAGTGCAGAGCAGCCCAGCTCTGGTGTGGTCTGTGCACAGCTCAGGGCAAAAAAGGAGCAGAGGAATTAATTAAGGAATTAACAAAAGCCTGTTTTGTGGGAATGTTCCCAAGGATTGGTGTCATTCGGGCTGTTCGGATGTGAGTGGCACAGTCAGGTTCAGGATGAGCTGCAGGAAGGTTTTGAAGAATCTCCCACTCCCTTTTCCATCCTGGTCCCTCCCTTTTGCTCTGCCACGTTTCCATGTGGGAAACAAGCAGTGCCTGGTTCAGGGATGTGAACATAAGGCTGTGATGAAAGAAATGAAACATCTCTGCGAACTCAACTCCAACAGATAAAAAAGCCAGTATTTAAGTTTGCCTGGGAATTCTCCTCCACATTTGGAAGCCCCTTGAGGCAGGGACTGCCCTTCTGTTCTGTCAAACAGCCACTTGTACAAGCCAGGATTGCACAACTACTTTTATAAGGTTTCCAATTACACAAAGAATGTGTTTTTATTCATGTTTACAACCCTGAGAAACAAACCCTGAAACCCCAAACCCTTTGCATTCAAATTCCATGACCTGCTAGTGGTTCTACCAGCGATGTGGTCCCAACTATTAATTTACACCTTGGTCTAGAACGAGCTTTTAGAAGGAGCAGATCCCAGAGCACATTGGAGTTAACACTTCCAGAAGTGACATTGTGCTTCCCTCTTTTCCCTCTCCTGTCCATATTTTAGCAGTCAGCATTCCTGGGCAGTTTCTGCCTGCCTTGGGCTAAGAGCTCAAATTCCAAGCAGTTGGCAGCACTGGCATTGCCCTGCTGGAAGCTACTTAATCTGCAGAGCTGGCTGCATTGGAGCATGGACATGGAACAAGGAGGGGAAGGAAGCATCAAAGGTGAAAGCACTGGGAATGTACAGCCTTGTTTTTCCCTGGCTGGGGACCAGCTGTGTCAAGAAACAAAAGCAGAGCACAAACTCTAATCTACTGTAAAAACAGCAAGTAAAACAAACCTCTCTCCTCGTCCAGTAAAGCACCTTCTGTGTCCCAACACAAAATCCAGGGCACCAAATAAAAATCCAGGGAGTCACTGCCCCATCTCAACTGGGCACAGCAGCCTGGATTCAGCCAGCTGGCCCAAAAGGTGAAGCAATTTCACCTCCAGGGCACAGATGCTGCCACAATGACATTTCAAACCCCTTTCCAAGGGACACAGCTCCTCTTGTCCCTGGTGATCCCAGTCTTTCCAGGCTGCTCCAAGAAGCTGAACTATTCAAGCTGCACACACAGAGCTCACAGCACCATTTCCACTCAGCTCAGCTCATAAATCTCTGGCTGTGCCTGTTTTTTCTGAACACAGATTTTATAAGCTGAATAAACTTTACGGAACAGTTATTCCAAGGCAGCCGAGACCTGGGAACTCGAAGCCTGACCACAGCCAGGCTCCAGCAGACACTGGGAAAGTTCAGTTTTCCCACTTCAGAACAAGCTCCTCTTACTGGCCTGCTCCTTCTGCATCAAAACATTTACTGAGTTTTTAATTTAACTTATCCTAGCATCCCTCAAGAGTTGGAAGGGACTCATCAGGATCACTGAGTCCAACTCCAGCACAGGACACCCCAACAATCCCACCCTGTGCCTGAGAGCTTTGCCCCAATGCTTCTTGAATTCAGACTTGGTGCTGTGACCAAACCCTGGGGAGCCTCTTTCCAGTGCTCAACCACCCTCTGGGTGAAAACCTTCTCCTGATATCCAACTAAACCTCCCCTAAAGCTCCAGCCATTCATTCCCCGGGCACGAGAGTGAAGGGATCACTCCCAGCCCCTGCACTTGTGAGCATGGTGAAGACCCCAAGCAGTTCAAACAAAAAAAGCAGCTCACAGATACAGATCCTTTGGGCTGAGAGCCCATTTTCCAAGGGAAAAGGCAGCTCCAAAAGGCCAAGCATTTCCACAGCCACCGATGTGCAACGTGTCAGCTCCAGGGGAGCACCTACCTTGGAAATGAGCTCATCGTGGTTGGCCAGGTGAGCCCTGCAGTGAATGCAGCTGTAGGTCCTGTGGCACGAAGGCAGATATGCCTGGAAAGTCTTGGACCTTGTCATCTTCACCATTGGAGCCACTGAGCGCTGGCTGAAGTCCGGGGTGGCCCAGGAGGCGCTCCCGCAGGACGGGTCGCACGGGAAGCACCGGAACACGCAGGTAAAGGCCGTGGTTTGGCAGGGGATGGGTGTGTGGGGCAGGCTCCACACGCTGGTGATGCTCCAGAGGAAGAGATTTGGGCACGGGAAGAAAGGGATTTCACAGAAACCTGCGCTGGAAAAACACACAGAACATTCAGCTCAGCGCTGTGGATCCCTGCAGGGGATTTAGGGTTGGATTTAGGAGACAGAAGTGATGCCTGGGGATTAGATCAGCAGCACAGATCTTTATTCACTCGCTGGCTGCCCTCACACTTCCCTGCTGCTGTTATCTCCATTCATGGCTCTGGAAATGACTGCACAGGAGGGAAGGTGATGATTCCCACCCAGCCCCGTCTCCCAAACCTCTCTGGGGAACTCGGCACCACCCCGGGCTCTGCCAGCCAGGGAGAAAGTGAGGAGCAGAGCCAGCCCTGCTGTCCCCTGGCTGACTCACTGCTGGGACACCCCATGGGAAAAATGAGAGCTGGATCTGAATTTTCTGAGCCATCAGGTAAGGCCATGAGTCACCAAACCAGTTTTTCTCTCCATTCTGCCCTACTTTCCACATGGGAAATGCAGCATTCCTTCATTACACTCTCCTTTATAACTCCCTGCAAGCTCTGAAGGTAGAAGCTACTCTATAAACTGCACTCCAGTATTTTATTTTTTTTTTAATCTGAACATCTGACAGCAGCCAAAGCAAGGCACAGCCTCTGAAGACTACTCCTGATAGCAGGAGACAGTTAAAAAACCTATTCAGGATGGAAACACCATTTTACACTGCCACATCATCTGACAGCACCTGCAAGGCAGCTCAAGCCTGGCTCTCTCTTTGCTGACAGAAATGGAGTTTTCAGATCCCACACCTATAAAAGTCTTACCAGCTACAAGTGTTCCTTTTGAGGATGGAAAAACATAAAGGAAGGAATCCTCCTGGATCCATGGCGTGCATGCATGCTCTACAAATTAATCATGAACTCTGGCTGCTCCTCCCAGGAGGATTTTCCTTTCCATAAAACATGTGATTCTGCTCAGTTTCTGAGCCTGAACACACACTTCGTGTGTCAAACATGGAACACCACCAACCTCCCCACTACCACCCAGCCCCAAAATAAAGAAAACAAGGAATAACATCTCAGGCATCCATGAAAACCCTGCCCCCAAGCCTTGTTAACAAAGCAGATCCAAGGTATCCAAGCCATGGGCAGGGACATCTTCCACTGTCCCAGGGTGTTCAGAGCTCTGTCCAGCCTGGTCCTGGACACTTCCAGGGATCCAGGGGCAGCCACAGCTGCTCTGGGTACCTGTGCCAGGGCCTGCCCACCCTCCCAGGGAAGGATTTTTTGGTGATACCAAACCTAAGCCTCGTCTGTATCAGTGTGAAGCCATTCCTGTCTCTCCCTGCTCCTGTCAATAATCCCTCTCCCTCTGTCTGGTACCAGAGGGACAGTGCTCAACAGGAGCCAGAATCCAGTAAAACAACACAATACCCATTTCCCCCCTGCCTTTTCTTTTTTTCTGAAATATTTTTCTACTGCTCTCCAGGAGGCAGCTCCCTGACAGTCAAATGGGAAAAAAGCATCTTGCTCATCAGGCAAACTGCTGATAAAGCATATCTATCATGATCATAACAGTCAGCACTTCAGTGTCAGCACAGCAGTGCTCATTCCCAAAGCTTTTTGTAAATACCAACTAATCAGATTAACCTTTTCTAACTAAAGTTACAGCCACAGCTAAGCAGAACCCATCCTGTCACAGAAGGGTTCATTTGTGAGGAACTCACCCCTCTCTTGTCCACTCCAAATGGGGTTTTGCCAGGAATTTACCTGGACTGGGCACTGTTTGTTCCACAGCTGCAGCTCTGGATTTCAGCAAGATTTGCCTTTTGCTCTCACCAGAGAAGGAAGATAAATCAGTCTTTGCCTGTATCCTGCCCCAGTTCTCCGTGTGCACCAGAATTTTGTCAGAACTGAGTTTTGCTTTAGTCAGCGTTGTTTTCCCATCCAAGGTGAGAAACACTCAAGGACTGCACCCTAAATTTGCACCAGGGCAGAAAGCAGATGTAAACCAAAGCAGAATGCTCATTTTCAGCTGATACAAAACCATCCCCAAATTCCAAGGCCCTGATTGAGCAGCTGATGTGTTTTATCCCAGCCCTGAGGCATCCCAAAACCTGCAATCTGTGAGGTGCAGGGAAGCAGGAGACCAAGGGTGCCTTTCCTGGGGCCAAATGCAACTGGATCCCAAGGCACTGTGTGCAGACATTCCCTTGGGGCACCTGGAGGAAAGCACAAGGAAGGACTGGCAATCACTTCCCCTGATTCCTGAATGAGAACCCACACTGTGTCTAAACCTTACACTTGATTTGTTATGAAATGGGGCAATCCCCTCTCACCTTCACTTCAGCACGGATCAGTAAAATAATCAATCACCACTTTCACCACTTCCATCCTGCCATGCCAAACTTTCCTCTCCTGATCAGCTGGAGAAGGTAATCCACAGGCACCCCCAGAGCTCAGTGAAGAGATAAATAAACCCCAACCAGAATAATATCACAGCAAATCGTTTAATTTGTTGCTTGCTGACCCCTCTGTCCAGACCTGCTAAGCATCAATGCTCCAGAACAATGAACAAACCAGGAAACACTACAGCTGCATTTATCTGACAGAGCAATGAACACACACAGGAATTATCTGCTGCACACAGCTTTCTGCAAAAGCAGCTCATGAGCATTCATTTATTTGACCTCATAACACACTGAACATCAGCAAAAAACATCTGACCTTTTAGAAGCAGACAAAAAAAAAAAAAAAAATCAGGCGAGATGGTATCAGAGGAACTGCAATTCCTGTTCTCAGGGCTGTGCTGAGAAGGCAAACTCCATCTCTCTGCTTCAGGCAGGGCAGAGAATAAAGATTTGTGAGCCAAGATCTTGGTGGGAAGCCTTGTTAAGAAAATGCCTTGAATAAAAACTTCAGATAAGCTCAGCTATGGCAGCTCTAATTTATCAACACACCACTTTCACACAGTGTGATCACATGTGCATTGTCTACCAAGAGCTCTGTGCTCATCAAAGTCTGGGAGAGGAGGGAAAACCCACAGGAGATGCATTCTGACATTCTACAAGCACAGCCAGCAGCTTATAAGGACCAATTGCTGTCTTAAATATCATTTTGAAATGTATTCAGTGGCTCCCAGCAATGCAAAACCCAACCCCTTGGATTTTTCATGTCCTAATGACAACTACATTTGAATTAAGAGACAATTACCAGCTAACAGTGCATTTGTTCTGCTGCAGAACAAAGGCACGAGGATGAATTTGGGCTGTGCCTCTGGTTTTCAGAATGATGAGTTCATGTTCAGGCAGTGGGCAGCACTGGAGTCATTTCCACTCACTTTAAAACAGAACAAAAGAAGGTTTGTTCACTTTATCACCATGCCCAGCACTGTCAGAGAGATGAGTATCTGTCACCAGCAACATCATCCATTATTTTTCTTCTCTCATTCAAGAGAAATTTATCTCTGGGATGCACTCACTCAATTCAATGGAAGAGAAATTTGTGCTTATTAATTAATGCACAAGTCAGAAAGCTGGTTTAGACAAAAGGAAGGAATTCTAAAGAAAAAACTTCCAACATCATTTTTTGTGGGTTATCAGTGAGAGAATCAGCTGAATGTTTTCTTTGGGTGTGTTGGGCTGTCCTGCTTCATCCTGCTGAGTTTTGAGCAGCTTCCTGATGGAAAAATCACCACACACATTTTGCCATTTGGGTAAATTTTTGGATCAGAATCCACCCTGCACCTGTGGGTGTCCAACACCCACTTTCCACATGAAGCTGTCAGCAGTGCAGGAAACACAAAAAAAGGGAGGAAGTCTGTGCCAAGCACTTGCTAGACAAGGCCAGTGCGTGTACAAGTCCATATGCCAGAGAACAAAACCAGAACAAGCCTAATTTTGAATAAAATCCATTTGCAATGCAGCTCGGATGCAAATGTTCATTGTGGCAGGACAAACAACAGGTTTGTTGGGTCTGAGAGTTTTTTTTTAATGGATTATTCCATTTTGAAGATAAACTTCAGCCTGAAATACTCATTAGAATATAGCAAATGCTACAGAAAGCTGTTTGTAGCAGCTCTGAAATAATGCAGATATTTGGAAACCAAACTTTTTTCCTTTGGTGGGTCTATTTTCATTAATAAAGCAAGAGTTTGGGATGTGCTGATTCCCAGTGCAAGGAAAGCACAAGAGGAATTGGGTTTGGAGAATTTTCTGTGTCTAAGCTGGGGCAGCCTGGCTTGCTCCAGGCTCTGAGCAGGATTCTAAGAAAATTCTCAAGGTAAGTACAGCCACTTACCAAGGTTTTCTAGACAAAAACTGCCTGAATATTCCTAATGCAGCCTGAAGGAGGAAAGCTGGTCTCTAATTGGAGTTGGGGTTTGATGCCCTGGCTCTGCTCCCTTATGGAATAGAAGTTATCAGAGTTGCAGGTCCCTCAGAGACACCTGGCACTGCTAAAGGAACATTTTATACTCTGATGGTGACAAAATATCCTGGTTTGGGGCAGCTCTGGAGATCCACAGCTCTGGGAAAGATGAACCAGATCGTGTGAAGGTGGGAGGGTGGGATGTACCTGGTGGAAAGTCTGGAAGGAAGGATGAGCATCCTGAATTTAACCAGGGAACAACACAAGGGAAAGCCAAGCAAGGAGCTGAAACAGCAGATGGGTGAACACAGCGTGCTTCACTCCTTCAGCATCGAGTTTCTGAAATGCACCCATTTCAAAGCCTGGCTAAGGTGACACTGCAAGGAACTCAGCAGCACCACTGATCCCCGAGTGTCCTCTAACACCTCAGCTCATCCTCCAAACCTCGGAGTAGGAAAAGAACCTGAGAAAATGTGGGAAACAGCCAGCAGGAACCCTCTGCACGGAGCTTAATCAGCTGCATGGACAAAATTACAACACTAATAATAATAATAATATTTAACCCCTTTTCCTCCTCTTCTAGCAAGTGACTTCATCTCTTCATCACCGTGAGGAGGAGATTGGTGGTTTTGGGGAAAAGGGGAGGGGTGGAGGTGATGCTGATGGCATTCCAGACACGTGCCAGGAAGCCACTAGAGGGCCTC